AGGGTTATCTTTGGGGAGGTTGAGGGGAAGAATGGGAGGAGGGAAAGGTACAGAGAATAAGAAGCATAACTGGTAGGCATAAAATAGATGGGGAGAGGTTAAGAATAGTATAGGACGGCCAAGATGGAAGCGTAGGTGGAAATACTGCACAACCAAATTTAAAACCAACAAATATTTAGAAACAAAAACACAACCAGAACAGACAGAAAATTAAACTGTACAGAAGTCCAACAACAACAAACCACTCATCCAGACTCATAAGAGGGGCGGAGTCAGTGGCCATCAGGGAGGGATCCCAGCAGGAAAAGGCAGTGGTTGGCAGAGCTGGGTGCAGGGAGGAAATGAGCAAACCCAGTCAGGCACACAAGGCAGTTGGTTGACGTGGGACACACATTAGTGTACAGATAAACCAGGTAAAAAACGGGCAGGGAGAGAGACTGCCCAACAGGGCCCCAGCAACAGGAAATAAAGCCTAAAAGCACAGATTGAAAAAATCTGCGGGGGGGTTGACGTGCTGGGAGAGGCTCCCAGCCTCACAGGAGAGTTCATGGGAGAGACCCACAGGGTCCTACAACATACACAAGCCCACCCACCCAGGAACCAGCACCAGAAGAGCCCAATTTGCTTGTGGGAAGCGGCAGAGGGGACCAAAATCTGAGAGAGAGCAGAACAAGTGCCATTGCTCCCTCTCTGGCCCTGCCCCCACATATAGCATCACAACCCAGCCATTGGGTTGACCCACCCTGGTGAACACCTGAGGCTCTGACCCTCATACCTAACAGGAGCCACCAGATCAAAAAATTACAGCTCAAACAGAAGAACAAATCAAAGCCCTAGAGCCAATACTTCTAAGTGACCAAGAGATAGCCAATCTATCAGATGCCCAGTTCAAAACACTGGTGATCAGGATGCACACAGAACTGGTTGATTTTGGTTGCAAATTAGATGAACTAAGTGAAATGAAGGAAAATTCACAGGGAACCAACAGTGATGGAAAGGAAACTGGGACTCAAATCAATGGAGTGGACCAGAAGGAAGAAAGAAACAACCAAACAGAAAAGAATGAAGAAACAAGAATTTAAAAAAATGAGGAGAGGCTTAGGAACCTCCAGGAATCTTTATTTTATTATATGTTCTTATTTTATATTTTATTAATTCATTTTATTTTATTTTTTAAAAGTTTTTAAAGCAGATTTTATTTATCTTTAGAGGGGAAGAGAAGAAGAGAGAGAAAGAAATATCAATGTATGGTTGCTCTCATATGTTCCCTGTTGAAAACTGGCCTGCAACCCAGGCATGTGCCCTGACTGGGAATCGAATTGCGATACTTTGGTTCGCAGGCCTGCACTCAATCCACTGAGCTATACCAGCCAGGGCTCCAGGACACCTTTAAACATTTCAACATCTGAGTTATAGGGGTACCAGAAGGGGAAGAGAAAGAGCAACAAGTGGAAAACCTATTTGAACAAATAATAAAGGAGAACTTTCCCAATCTGGCAAAAGAAATAGACTTCCAGGAAGTCCAAGAAGCTCAGAGAGTCCCAAAGAAGTTGGACCCACAGAGGAACACACCAAGGCACATCATAATTACATTACCCAAGATTAAAATGAAGAAGAGAATTCTAGAAGCAATAAGAAATAAGGGGACAGTCACCTGTTGGGAACCTCCCTGCCTGGTTTCAGGAACTGAAACCCACCATGGCTAAGGCTGAGTGAGTGACCTTTGGACCATAAGCCACTAAGGAGATAAAGCTTATCTCCCTGGCAGGAGTGCTGCTTCTGCTCCTTTTTCCATAATTGGCCTCCAATGCTTGATCAGTTAGCCAATGACGGGTAAGATTCCCCAAGGGGGAAATCACCTGAGACAGGCATGATCACACAGAGGCCCCAGGAAAGGACTTGGGGGGCTATGGAGAAAGGGGATGATGGCCCCTCACCCCCCAGCTTTGACGAAGCCTGAGTCCTCAGTCTGTCTGTAAGAAGTCTCTGAAAATTCTTTGGCTATCTGCTTCCTCTGCCTGACTTAAGCCTGAAAACAATGACAGAGGGTGGTGCAGCCTTGTGCTGGGAATGGCAGGTTCCCTTGGTGATCTGGCATGAGAAAAAATTCCTAACAATCCTGTGAAACCTGCTTTGCTAAGAATGTTTTTAGTTAAATGATAAAGGCCCAAGCAGAAAAAAGAGTTTATGTTCCCAAAGTTCTATAGCCTTTTAGCTGACAGACCCTGATTTAGAAGCCTTAATGGGTCTTTGTATACATTCTACTGTTTACTGCCTGACAGTGATTAGTAAGTTGTACCTGAACTCCTGTGCAAAAAACCCAATAAAAAAGCCTGTCCAGGCAAGGGTCAATGCACTCTCCCTTTGAGAGGGTGGCCAGGCTGTTCTGAGGCTCTCCTCCCCCTTGAGTAGCCATGCCATCCCTTTTCCTCCATTGGACTCAGTAGTCCATGTGAACTGTCTCATGTCTCATCCATGACGCCACGGGCACTGTGAGCCAGTGCATGCGACAGTCACCTACAAAGGAGTTCCCATCAGACTGTCAGCTGATTTCTCAAGAGACCTTACAGGCAAGAAGGGGCTGGAAAGAAGTATTCCAAGTCACAAAAGGCAAGAACCTACATGCAAGACTGCTCTATCCAGCAAAGCTTTCATTCAGAATGGAATGGCAGAAAAAGTGCTTCTCAAATAAGGTCAAGTTCAAGGAGTTCATCATCACCAAGCCCTTATTATATGAACTGTTAAAGGGACTGATCTAAGAAAAAGAAGATAAAAAATATGAACAATGAAAGGACAGCAAACTCACAGTTACTAACAACCACACCTAAAACAAAAGTAAACTAAGAGGACAGCTAGATCAGAAGTGGAACCACAGAAATGGCAACCACATGGAAGGTTAGCAACAGAGGGGTGGCAGGAGAAGAGGGGAGAAGGTATAGAGAATAAGTAGCATAGATGGTGGGGAGAGAATAGACAGGGGGAGGGGCAAGAGTAGTGTGGGAAATGTAGAATCTAAAGAACATATGACACATGGACATGAACTAAAGGGGGGGAATGTCGGGAGGAGGGGGTGTGGAGGGGAATGAAGGGGGGAAATGGGACAACTGTAATGGCATAATTAATAAAATATATTTAGAAAAGAATAATATAGGAAATGGAGAAGCCAAAGAACTTATGTGTACAACCCATGGACATGAACTAAGGGAGGGGATGCTGGAGTGTTGGGGGCTGCAGGATGAGGGGGGATAAAGGGGAAAAATGGGACAATTGTAACAGCATAATCAATAAAATATACTTCAAAGAGAAAAAAAGAAACTGTACAGACTTCTAGTGTGTTTCTCATAGATACTATAGTAGAGTGCTACTACAGTATGGCTAATGTACAGAGGGATTGAAGTTATAGTATTCAAATGTAATGTTGATTTGGAAAGTAGGCATTTTTACTGACATGTCTTTACATCAACTAAATGTTAAATATAGTCCAACAGTAATTCTATTTTGATTGTCTATATTAGAAGAAAGTATTGGGTTGGCTAAAAAGTTCATTTGTTTTCCCAAAAGATGGCACTAGTAGTGCTTAGTTGTCTTTAACTTCATTCAAAACATGAAGTTAGATTTTTTGTTAGATTGTATTGTGACAGTTGTCATATCAATGTACATTTAAAAAATCAAAAATGGTGAATTATTGTGTAGTCATTTTAATGTTGAAGATGGCAGAAAAAATGCAACATTTTCAGCATATTATGCTATATTATTTCAAGAAAGCTGATAATACAACCAAAACACACACATACACGCAAAGATTTGTGCAGTGTATGGAGAAAGTGCTGTTGACTGATCGAAAGTGTCAAAAGCGGTTTGTGAAGTTTCGTGCTAGAGATTTCTCACTGGACAATGCTCCACCATCGTGTAGATCAGTTGAAGTTGATAGCAATCAACACAAGATGTTAATGGAGAACAGTCAGTTATACCACACAGGAGATAGCCAATGTACTCAAAATATCCAAATCAATAATGTTATTGGTGAAAATGAAAAATATGTCTTTTATTTTGTGGGAAAAATTATACAGACTTTTTGGCCAACCCAATAGTTGATGGAAAAAAGGGGAAAATTTATTGTAAGAATAATACTTTCTGAACTTTTCTTATATGTTATAGAACCTGAGGTATAACCTTCCTTAAATGTGCAGCGGCACTGAGATTACTTGACTTGTTCAATAAGTCAAGTGTTTAGGATAGCAACTAACACATGTTGAATAATTATAATTTCCTGCTTACAAAATGGATCAAAATCTTTTATCATGAATGGTCTGTGCCTAAATGTGGCCCTTTTGCTACATTTCACTGGGGCCAGTGACTCTGATTTATGTTTACTGAGTATGAACTTTCTGGTATAAGGACCAAAGTTCTTTACTTCATATATATGTTCTTCATGTGTCTCAGAGTCTTGAAATATTTTTCTTTAATAGAAATCCAACAAATCTACTTGGATTTTCAATTTATAGTTCTGAACTTCTATTACCATCTCAGTAAGTCTCATATCTGAGAAAGTCCAGACACTAAAAAAAATGAAAAAAAAAAATAAAGACCTTTGGGTACAGAACCCATTTTCCTTTTAACTTGAAGGTTAAGCCATGTTCTGTTCAAAACAAAAACCTGGAAACACCACAAGTTTACATTTGATCCACTTATTATTGTTGCCACTGATGGGCACATGTTCCCAATTCTCTGCCTTACATCCCAATCATGCTTTTTCACTCACAACATGTGTCCACTCCAGTTTCCTGTGCTGAAATGTTTTGCACCAAAATATGAGTTATCTCTCAGGAACAGTGGTAATGTGCAGGCCAAAATGTTTGAATGACATTTCCTACATCGTGTGAAGTTAGGAAACTTGTGAATTATATAAAATGTAAATGCAATTCAAAATAAAAATGTATCTTAATCATTTACAGTACAAATTTTGCAACACCTTCAGATGAGCCATGAAACCTTAGAAATGATTGTAAAACTGCTTTTATTCTTTGTCTCCATTTTCCATAAGGCAATTTCTAAGATATTTCTCTTTGTATTATATGAAATTAGCTTTCAGCTGGAAAACAGTGGTAATAAATGACGACTGCAAGAGCCTCAAAAAGGTGGTATCAAAGAAAGAAAAGTAATTAGAAAAAGCAGAAGTCCAAAGATTAGAATTCTTTTAATATAAGATAAATCAACTTAAACCCGATAACTGAATTTTCAAAAACAACAAGCACTTATTGTTCTTTAATTTACAATTTTTTAAAAAAAATTATTAATCTTAAAGAGAGAGGAGGAAGATGGGGAGAGAAAGACAGAGAGAAACAGATATTGCTGTTCTGCCCACTGATGCATTCATTGGTTGATTCTTGCATGTGCCCTGACATGGATCAAACCAGCAACCTTGGTGTATGGCTACAATGCTCTTACCAACTGAGCTACTGGGCCAGAGCTACTGTCCTTTGTTTTTATATCCAACGACTGCATCAAACTTAACATTGATCTTTCGTTTAAGAAGTACCAAGAAATGCTCAGGAAAGATCCTAAAAGAAACATACATGAACATAATTAGTAAGTTAATATTAAATACATTTTAAGATATCTTCTCTTAAAATACTTATGCTTATCATGTATCATGTCATGTTCATTTTAAACAAGATTAAGAATTTTAACACACAGTCACTACTATATGCCTTTTCCAATTAAATCCATTTCCTTTTCAAAAGGAAAAGGAAGGTTTAATTCTTTAGAGTAGAAGTGGCTTGAAATATTTAGTTTTAAAATAAATATACTCTATATTTTTTAAAAGATCTATGATAGTATATGTATAGAACTGAGCAGCTGAGATGCTAAAGGCTTTAAAAAAATAAAAAGCTGATGTTGCAAAGAAAGTGAGAATAGGAACTCATTTTACACTTTATTATCCAGTATATTATTAAAGTGTTCCACTTCGAGACTGGGGGAGCAGAACTGCTCAATGGAAATGCAGACAATACACTTGGTTTTGAGCAAAATGCTGAACAAGTAATTTAACTTTTGAGTTTAAATTCTTCACGTGTACACAAAAAATTAACACCTATCCCACAGTGCTATTTGAATAATCAGTGTTAATATAAAATGCCTTAAATAGTGATAGGCATCTGGTAGGTCTAATTTTTTTCTACCCACTCTATATTTAAGAATATTGAGAAATTTGTCACATTCCAATGAGTCTGAGAGAAATGAAACAGACTATGTAAGTCAGTGTAACTATATATAGACATCTGCCTAGAAGGTATTAAAATAAATTTTGGAAATTGAGAACTGAACATTCATAGTCAGAGGAAAATCAGGGCAATGTTAATAAGAGTGGTAATTATAAAAATAATAGTGGTATATAACATTTATTGAGTATTTATAGTATATTAAATATTTTGAATGCATTATTTTATTTATTCCTCATAGCCCTTTGAAGTCTTATTGTTGTCTCCATGTGACAGATAAGAAATTAAGCTTCAAAGAAGTTAAATAACTCATCCATGTTCATGTTGCAAGCAAGTCACACAAACACAGCTTCACCTAACTCCAGAGCACAAATATTTGGTCTCTATGTTAACGGTCTAGGAAACAGAATTAATTATTCATTCAGCAAACATTTTGATGCCTCAAATGTATGTATCAACTCTTCAAAGTGCAGGGGATATAGTGAGGACAACAGGCAAAATTCCTTCTCTCATTGAGTTACATTGTAAGGGACTGTAATTAGTGAGTGCTTACTTAGGCGATGTGACAAGTAAAATGCTACACACCTCAGAGGTTTTAACTCATTTACTCACCAACAAGATCCTTGAGCTTTGCCACCTGACCTCAAAGTATGCTCAACCATAGTTACTAGCACAAGGGGCTAAAAAAAAAACCTGACACAGGCCCCCATGGTTTTGGTTTTCTAATTTTTTTCAGTCTCTAGGTCAGTCGTTCTCAAAGTATAATCTCTGAACCAACTGCTTGTGGCAATTGTCTGTTAAAATTCAGATTTCTGGGTTTCAACTCAAACATCCTATATCAAGAGGTGAGATGCAGGAATCTGCTTTTTAAAAATTTATTTATCTTATTTATTTATTTTTATTTTATTTATCTTTAGAGGGGAAGGGAAGGAGAGAGGGAGAGAAATACCAGTGTATGGTTGCCTCTCATGGGTCCCCTGCTGGGAACTGGCCTGCAACCCAGGCATGTGCCCTGCCTGGGAATGGAACCACGATCCTTTGGTTCCCTGGCCTGCACTCAATCCACTGAGCTACACCAGCCAGGGCTAGGAATCTACTTTTTGAATCAGCTTCCCCAGTGATCCTGATACCCTACCACACTGGAGAAGCTTGACTCTAGGGACAGAAAAAGGTTTCTTTTCCTTTTTAACCTGAGCAGCCTCTTCAGTTTCCCCTCACTCACTGGCCAGCCTCATTGCCACACAGCTTCCCAGGTGAGTGATGAGACAGTGTGTTACGATGAGGCATTCTCTAAAGTAGGGGTTTTCCCATCTTGGCCATACATTAGAGTCACTGGGAAAGTCGCTGTGTGATCAGGCCACACTCCACACCAATCAAATCAGAATCCTGGGGAGTGGGTCTGGGATCTCAGCATTTTTAAAACTCCCAGGTGAATTCCAATGTGCACCCAAGTTGACTACTTCTCTAGAGAAATTATTCTAAATCTAAATATGCACACAAATCACCTGTGGATTTTATCAAAATGCAAATTCTGATTCAGGAGGACAGGAGATTCTGTATTCCCAACAAACCCCCAGGGGGAGCTGATGCTGCTGGCTGTGAACCACATCTGAAGCGGCAAGCCTCGAGGGTCTCTAAAGATATCTCTATGCTTCAGTCTGATTTTTCACAAAATAAGAGCTCAGTGATCACCTGTTGTATACTTAGGTGAATATACAAAAGTTAACTATGGTCTCTTTCAATATTATTATCCTATGACTCCACTATGTACTAATGTTTAAAAACTGTCCTTCTTCATATTCATTCATTTATAAGACAAGACTTCCAAAAGTATGCCAATTTCTTTCTTTAGAAAATAACTTGTGGAAATGATTCAGTTCATTTGCTCAATTACAACACCAATCTTGCTTCAATCACTAACAAAGATAGTTTAAAAATTGATGAATTCTTTAAGCCTATTATTTTTATTAACTTCATTCCATTTAATAGTACTTAACAAAAATTTGGTCTTCAATCTGAGTAAAAACATGTAATAGATAAATATTTATAATGCTGGCAAACTTAACTGTTGCTTACCTTTCCAACACTGTTAAAAAGCCTACAGAAGATGGAATAAAAATCATTTTTTGGTCAGTCAGGATTCCCTTCATCAGCTTGTTTACCACTTCCTCAGGTTCCAGGGTGGACCCCAAACTGAAACCAGAAGCAGTCTTCAGAAACACATCATTTCACTGAGGCTTCAGCTTTAGCTTAGTGTTAAACAAATAAGTTAAATTACCACAGGAACCACAACATAAGTGACCTGTAGCATCTAGCTGTCACAGATGCTTGAAAATGACAACTGCTTTAGCATTAATAATATTAACAATAACAACTATTTACTTAGTGCTTATCGTGGGCTGCCCACTGTGCTAAACATTTTACACAGGTTACCCTCCTGAAGCTTTACAACAACTGTATTATGCAAACGAGAAGTATGAAAATAACTAAGACTCAAAAATAATTTAGCTACATTAACACATAAATTCACTTTTAAATCTTTAGAAGCTTTGAAAAAGAAGTCAGATACCCTTTACAAGTGTTATTATTATATACTAAGACATTTTGAGTGAACAATTTCTAAAGTGTCAGGGGAATTAAAATATAGGGATGTGTCTGGCTCTAGGTCCTTGATCTCTCTCTACATGAAACCCTAATATTGCCTTTGGTTATCTACCTTTACCACTTTATCAGGTCTTCATTTAATTTTCAGATTTATTATTTACCGTATTTTTGGACCACAAGACGCACCTAGGTTTTAGAGGAAAATAGAAAAAATATTTTTGAAGCAAAAAATGTGGGAAAATATTTAATAACAGAAATAATGCAATATTTCACCAATGTAAATGTAAACAGAACTCAACAGCAGCATTAACAACCATTATTTCTCCCAAATTTGGGGTGGGAAACAGAGAGGGAGATGTGTCTTATAGTCTGAAAAATATGGTAGTTTCAATGTTACTTCTGCCCTGTGTAATCTCGCTGGTATATGCACTATTGAGAAGGTAGCCCCTAAAACGTGACCTTTGTTATATGGGTGTTAGGATAAATGCATTTAGCATGGAGCTGCACCAGAGTTGGTCCTGAGTTTTTAATATTTTACTAATAATTTGGAAAAAACGATGCATAATTAATTACACTTTGGAACTTTGCCAATGTCACCAAACTGTTTGGGTCACTAACATTTTGGAGAGGCAGATTTTAACTGTTTTGACTAGTTGAGAAAAGTGAGAGAACAAATTCTTAGGAACAAATATAGAATAGTTAATTCAGAAAGAGAAAATATGCAGTAAAAGTGGGACAAATGAGAAAAATGATATTGCACTTTAAAGTGAGCATGCTAATTAGATACATGAAGGAGATCAGAGCTTAAATAGGAAGACTGGAAAAAGTCTGGCCATTTTTAATAGAGAGAATTGTTTGCACAACATCAATGGAACCCGGCAGCCAAAGAGAGTGGACTGGAATGCACATGCGTGAAAAATAAAACTTCACTGTACTAGTCAGTGGGGGCAGGAGATGCCATTGAGTGAGCATGTGTGCTGTGTGACCACTGCGTTCAAATAGAATGAGCAATGAATCTGCATCAAATTTTGTGTTAAGCTTGAATGTTCCTCTCTGGAAATTACTCGGATGATTCAGAAGGCTTTTGGAGACAATGCAGTAAGTGTGACAGAAATAAAGGGTAACAAATGCTTCAAAGATGGTCAAGAATCTGTTGAAAGTGATCCATGTTCTGAAAGGCCTGCAATAAGCAGAACACCTGTGAATGTTGCACGTGTGTGGCCTGCAGTCTGCAAAGATTGTGACTGACAGTGAGGGAACTAGAAGCTGATCTGGGGATTCCAAAATCTACAGTGTTCAAGATTTTGACACAGGATCTTGGCATGAAATGTGCTGTGTCAAAATTTGTTCCATGGCTTCTGCTACCAGAGCAGAAGGAACATCATACTGCAGTTGCTAATGACTTGATTCAAACCACTACTCATGAGCCAGATTTCCTCAAGAAGATCATAACCGCAGATGAATAGTGTGTCTATGACTATTATCTGAAAGCAAAGACCCAGTCCACGCAGTGAATGTCACCTGGTTCACCACACCCAAAGAAAGTGCAGCAAAGCAACAGCAAGATTAAGACCATGTTAACTGTTTTTTGATTGGAAAGGTGTTTTCCATAATGTCCCTCAAAGCCAAACAATAAGAAGTACCAACTCAATATTCTTCGTGGGTTGAGAGATGCAATATGATGAAAACAGCCACAGCTATGGGCAACTGGTGATTGGCAGCTTCATCATGACAACGGGCCCGCCCATGCATCACATGTCTTGCAGCATTTTTTGGTGAAACATCAAATCATCCAGGTGACTCAGCATCCCTACAGCCCAGATTTGGTGTCCTGCAACTCCTAGCTTTTCCCACAACTAAAATCACCTTTGAAAAGGAAGAGATTTCAGACCATCAATGAGATGCAGGAAAATACAGTGGGGCAGCTGGTAGTGATTCCAACAAAAGATTTTACAGTGTTTTGAACAGTGGAAGAGATACAGGGAGAACTGTGTGAGGTCCCAAGGTGTCTACTTTGAAGGGGACAGAGGCGTCACTGTCCTGTGTACAATGTTTATCTTGTGTCTTTAATAAATGCCTGTATTTTTCAGAGACATTTGTGTGGCTGAATACTTTCTGGACAGACCTCATAGACAGGGTTGGTCAGAAGTAATGCCTGCTTGAGCGTAGTTCGTAGGGTAATAATATGGGTGCAATAATTTACAGTTTTAATTTGAACATTTCACCTAAAATGTCATGTGGTGTGCTTGAGCATGATATTGTTATGTTACAGAATTACATGCTTGATTTTTGTAATAAAAATGGGCCATTATTGTGCTGGACCCTATATATGATCTTTCCTTTTTTATGACAAATTGGGTATTTTGGTCAGGAAAATATGTCAAGGGACAGTTTACTGTCAATCTGAACCAAATAAACTATTTTTTCCTTTTTATTGAATTTAATGGGTGACATCAGTTAATAAAACTATATAGGTTTCAGATATGTAATTCTGTATCATCTGTACACTGTATTGTGTTCACCACTCCAAGTCAAGTCTCCTTCCATCACCATCTATCCCCCTCCCCTCTCCCCCACCTCCTGGCAACCACCACACTATTGTCCATGTCCATGATTTTTTTCTCCTTTGCTCACTCTCTGCCAGCCGCCAACTCTGCCTCCCTCTAACAGCTGCCAGCCTGCTCTCTGAGTCTGCCTCTATTTGCCTTATTAGTTCATTGTGTTCATTAGATTCCACATATGAGTGAACTCATACGGTATTTGTCTTTCTCTGACTGGTTTATTTCACTCAGCATTATGTTCTCCATCCATACCATCACAAATGGTGGAACTTTCTTCTTTCTTATGGCTGAGTAGTATTCTACTGTGTAAATATATTGTGTAGTTGTTTTATCCACTCATCTACCAATGGACACATGGGCTGCTTCCATATCTTGGCAATGGTAAATAATGCAACAAGAGCATAGTATTAAAAGGGCAGTGTACAGAATAGTATGTATGTTTCCATGTACCAGAAAAAATGCATTAAATTAAGAAGTATGGCTTCATAAATTGGGAAGCTATAGCTGGAAATATAATTTTCAATAAAGTGGTTACCTCTGGAAGAACAACACCTTTGAAGGGGCTTTTCTCTATATTATTTAAATTTTGTTTACAATCATAACACATTATTAGAAACCCAATAAAGGTATTTCCAATGAAATATTTAATATACATTTTAGATGATTATTTTCAGAAAAACACTTCACTTAAAATTTTGTTTAAAAAAAAAAAGCTAGGAATAGTAAGGCATTTGGAATCCAGAACCTATGGGGGAATTTCAAGTCTGCCCCTTTGGGGCTGTATGACTTTGGGCAATTTTCTTAACTCCTCAGACTGTTTGTCAACAAAGTGAGCAGAGTAATACTTACCTTTCAGAGTTTTCAGAAGGATGAGGGCAGGGGTAGACAAACTGGCCTGGGGACAAATCTAACCCTCCCGGATTATATATAAGAAGGTACCCAGACCTAGTAAGATACCTGGTATTTGGTAGACTTTGAATAAATGCTTGAAAAAGTGATTTCTTGAGAGCCAAGTCTATGTAATTAAAATAATTCTTAGAAGCCAAAAAATTATTAGAACACTTGATCGAATTTAATTCCAATAAAATCGGATTATGCTGTGTTACAACCTTTATAGTAAACTAGTTTCTTTGCACTGTTAGATGTGTAAATATAAGAACCAATAAATTACATCCTTGTTGTGCCTTAAAATAGAATATAAAGTCCAATATGAGTAAGACACAAATTATTTTAGATAAGTCACTTAGAGGTTTATTTCAGTTTCCTTCTTTCAGAAAGGTTGTTGTCTGTGTAAAAAGGAAAAAACTTGGTCTGAATCTCAGTTCTGCTACTTACAGGCAAGTGACTTGATCTCTCCAAGCAAAGTACTGTGGTGAGGTTTAAAAATTTACAGATTTTATTTAGTGTCCAGAATATAAATTCTGCCCTCTGATTAGAAGAACTAAGTTTCTAGATTAAAAACAACCTCACTTTTGGCCTCCACTCTAGTATCAGCTTATGTTCAAAGGGATTCATGTGGCAGGACCAAGCCCCAGACCCTTCCTTAGCCTGGTCATATTCCTGCGACTAAGCTACAATCCTGTCAGCTTCTATTTACACTCCCCTGCCTCACAGCAAGCTTCCCAGTTATTTTTCAATTGTAGTAGTAGAGCATTGCCAGGAGAGGGCACCCCTCCCCACATGAAGGTTAGCTTTGTGCATCATCCTGTGGGCAAGGGTAAAACATTCAATTATAATTTTAAAAATATGCTCTGTTTTTAATTGCTGAAAGTCTAAGTAAAAGACATTGACTCAAATATATTACTTTAGTATCTAAATTCTGAAAATATGAGAAAAAATTGACAAATTCTATTCCTGAGCATGGTACCTCTTTCTTTGACACCCCTTTCAGTTTTAGTGAACTCTTTCAATTGACTAATTTAAGTATATTTTATTGATTATGCTGTTACAATTGTCCCATTTTTTTTCTCCCCTTTACTCCTCTCTGCCCTACACCCCTCCTCCCACCGTATTCCTCGCCCCCCCCCCTTAGTTCATGTCCACGAGTCGCACATATAAGTTTTTTGGCTTCTCCATTTCCTATATCCTTCTTAACCTCTCCCTGTCTATTTTATACCTACCATTCATGCTACTTATTCTCTGTACCTTTCCCCCTTTTTCTGCCTCCCATACCCCCATCGATAACCCTCCATGTGATCTCCATTTCTGTGATTCTGTTCTTGTTTGCTTAGTTTTTTATTTTTGTTCTTAGGTTCAGTTGATAATTGTGAGTTTGTTGTCATTTTACTGTTCATAGTTTTGATTTTCTTATAAGTTCCTTTAACATTATACGTAATAAGGGCTTGGGCATTATGAACTCCTTTAACCTGACCTTACCTGGGAAGCACTTTATCTGCCCTCCCATTCTAAATGATAGCTTTGCTGGATAGAGTAATCTTGAATGTAGGTCCTTGTCTTTTATGACTTTGAACACTTCTTTCCAGCCCCTTCTTGCCTGTAAGGTTTCTTTTAAGAAATCAGCTGACCAGTCTCACGGGAACTTTTTTGTAGGTAACTGTCTCTTTTTCTCTTCCTGCTTTTAAGATTCTCTCCTTATCTTTAATGTTGGGTTATGTAATTATGATGTGCCTTTGGTGTATGCTTCCTTGGGTCCAATTTCTTTGGGACTCTTGGAGCTTCCCGGACTTTCTAGAAGTCTATTTCCTTCACCCAATTGAAGTTTTCCTTCATTATTTGTTCAAATAAGTTTTTAACTTCTTGCTCTTGTTCTTCTTCTGACAACCCCTATGATTCAGATATTGGAACGTTTAAAATTTTCCCAGAAGTTCCTAAGCCTCTCCTCATTTTTTGAATTCCTATTTCTTCAATCTGTTCTGGTTGAATGTTAATTTCTTTCTTCAGTTCCAAATTGTTTATTTGAGTCCGAGTTTCCCTCCCTTCACTGTTGGTTCCCTGTATATTTTGCTTTATTTCACTTTGGGTAGCTTTCATTTCTTCCTTCATTTTGCAAGTAGACTCAGTCATTTCTTTGAACACCCTGATTACCAGTATTTTGAACTCTGCATCTGATAGGTTTTCTATCTCCTCATTGCTTAGTTCTTGTTCTGGAGTTTTGATCTGTTCTTTCATTCGGGCCACGTTTCATTGTCTCAGCACACCTGTTATGTTGTAAGGGGCAGAGCCTTAGGTGTTCACCAGGACGGGGCAACCCACCTCTCTGTGTTGTGGCACTGCATGGGGGGGCGGGGTCAGAGAGGGAACAGTGCTGTTTCCTCTGCTCTCAGCCAGATTTCAGTCACTTCCCCTGCTACCCACAAGCAAATTTGGCCCTTCTCGTGCTGATTCCCAGGTGGGTGGGTTTGTGTGCATCCTAGGACCCTTTGGGTCTCTCCAACAAACTGTCCTGTGAGGCTGGGAGCTTCTCCTACTGCCACAACCCAGGAGTTTTTACACCAGAGGTTTTAAGGCTTTAGTTCCCCACGTTGGAACCCTGGGTTGCACAATCTGTCTCGCTCCCCAGTTGTTCATCTCGGCTTATCCACACGTGAATGTGGGACTGCTCAGTCCACCAGCAGCTGCCTTGAATGCCCAGTCCACCCACTTGCTGCACGTTCTCTCCACCGCAGCTGCCCTTTTCCGCCCCTCCTACCAGTCTGAATGAGTATCTTTAACTCCTTGGTTGTCAGACTTCTGTATAGTTTGATTTTCTGGCATTTCTGGTTGTTTTCTGTTTTTAAATTTCTTGTACTTCTTTGGTTGCATAAGGAAGCAAGGCATTTCTACCTATGCCTCCATCTTGGCTGGAAGTCTCCTAATTAATTTTTAGTGAGACCTAATCAACACATCGCGTTGAGTCAATTTATGATGTACAATGTGATGTACAAAGAAATGATAATTATGTGATGTGATAGAGGTGTTAGCTCACACTATAGTAGTAATTGTATTACAATATATATGATACACTTATATATTGTAATACAATTACTACTATAGTGTGAGCTAACACCTCTATCACATCACATAATTATCATTTCTTTTCTGTGGTGGGAACAGTTAAAATGTAGCTTCTTAGCAACTTCGAAGTTTTTAATACCATATTGTCTATAAACATAATGCTGAAGAAAGTGAACAGTTTACTCATTGTTTCCACAACCCTATGTGTAATGTATGTCAGTTATACAAAATTTAGACATTTAATCTGCACATAGGGAGATGTCTAGAAAGATGTTCATCAAAATATCAAGAGCAGTTTCTACTGGATAGAGGGTTTTTAGAAATTTTAAAAAGAAACTTTCTTCTTTGTATGTGTTAGACTTTTTAAAAAAGTATACAATATGTTTACAAAGATATTAAAGCTATTCCCAAAGAGAGGAAACATTAAAATTAACCTCAGAGCAGGTCCTTACAATTTTATGTGCTAACCAAGGAAAGACCATGGTCTCGTACTCAATTTGGAAGATAATCTCTAGCTTACTAATGGAAAGTGTTTTTCACATTGTGGTTCTGACTTATGTCTATCAGAATTACCTATGATGCTTATTAGACATATGGTACATAGTTCCAAGTCCCCATCCCAACTGGTAACTACCCTCTCCCAACCAAACCCAGTAAACACCAACATCTCTGGGGATGGGTCCCCTACATGGTTCCTAAGCACTCCTGGTGAATGTGTGTGTACTTAAGCCTAAAAACCACTGCTTTGGGGAAGAGGAAAAGGGAGGATTAGCAAGTTCGCCTGTCTCCTTCATATTTACATGTGTATACATTCTCTCCCTGCGTCTCTCCACCTGTCTTCCCACAATCTACAGAAGCTGAACCTGAACTGCGCTCAGGGCATTGCATCTCAGGTGTTTCAAGGATCAAAATACTTCAGAAAAGCCACAGAATGGCTCATATTCATGCAATCACCAACCCTTTTATCTCCATTTCTGTCTCAACTTACGCACTGCTTGGGTTTTTGATGAAGCCAGTGTTTATGAAAGTAGGGCAGAGACATGAGGTTTTGACTCCGGTACTTTTTAAGGCAGCCAGTTCGTCAGTCAAAGCTCTATGAAATCCCACAGCAGCAAACTTGCTTGAACTGAAAATAAACAGAGAGAGGTCACAAAATAATTCAAGAAAGTTACTACATGTATTTTGGATGGCTGTTTTCCTTGGTTAAGCCATCTGAGAAACACAGGCAGCAGCTGAATCTCAGTGCCCTGCCCAGACCCACTGAATTGGAATCTGTATTCTAGAATATCCTCAAGTAAATGTATAGGCACATTGAAGCTTATGAGCACTGACATAGAACACTTACTGCATCACAACATCAGTTATTAGAGTGACAAATGAATAAGCTTAAATGTATTGTTAGAGAAAATTGGTAGTGTTTATTTTGTTGTTTCTCTTTCCATAAAATTTAATAACACTGTAGGCTGCTCATTATTTGCTTTAATATGTTCAATGAATTCATTGCAAAATGTCCCTGCATAAAACCAATTCTTCCTTTAGTCTCAGTGTGACTTCCTCAGAGGACTTTCCTGACCCCTAGTCTAAAATTATTTCCCCATTGTATAGTAATCTTCAGTTTTCCACGACAGCTCACTTTAGATTCGTAATTTAATGTTCATCGGGGTGAACTTTTTGAACGTCTGTCCTTCATAATTTTGCCACAAGCTGCACAACTGCTGTGGTCTACAGTAAATCTGCAGAGCCCGACACAATGCCTGGGTCAAAACAGGGGCTCAGTAAGTACTTGTCAAATGAACAAAACAAAGTGCAAAGTCATTCTTATTGTCCTAGTTCCCTCATTTGAAAAGAGAAGGGACATCAATCATATTTCACTGGAAGTGAACATCACACTTCCAGTTAGGTGTTTTGAAAAGCAACTTTATAGAGATACAATATGACATTATTAATTTAAAAAATTATGTGAAGTATATATGAGAAAATCTGAAATTTGAAAGTGCGCAATTCAGTGGCATTACCAGACAGATTGTTCTTCTACAAATCTGTGTGGATTAGCGGTTACGTGCAGAGCACCTGTACATTCTTGCCAATCAGCCTGTGCTTTGGAAAATACAAAGCTGTGAAAAGGAAAGCTTTCACCCCCTCCACTCTTTTTTTTACAGCTTAGACATAAAATGAAGACTTAAAAAAAGAAAGATTGAGAGATTCAATTACATAAAATGTAAATCTTTTATACCTTGAAAAAGCAAAACGAACAAAAATAATCAAACCTAAGATGGATGACTACATGTCAGACACGGTCCTCAGTGACTCGGACGCATTATGTCCTTTAACCCACACAGCAACTCCATGAAGTGAATGCCACAATGATCCCCACTTATTACAAAGGAAACTGAAGCCCCAGGGGTGGTTATAGAAGTTGTCCAAAGACACAAAGAGAACGGTAGAATCGAACTTTAAATCTAGGGAATAACCAGGCCTCTATATGATATACTCTAAACTTTATCAGCTCCCAACCGAGTTAAGAGCCAAAAAAACTGGTAAAGCATTTGCAACGTGTAAGACCAGGGTAAGGGTTACTATATGGAAACTTTTATAAATGAGTAAGACAATACTCTAATGGATAGATGGCTAAAAAACATTAGCGGAAAATGCACAAAATAACCCCAATAGGTTTATGCATATTAAAATATTTTACTTCAAGTGTAATAAATATAAATTACAAAATAAAATAATTTTCACCTAGCAGTAAGTGGTAAGGATACAAGGACATTTTTATCTGTTTAAGTGGTTTTTCAAAGTACATAATATTTTACATTTTATATAATTGAATGAGCAATCTTTTCTTTTTAAGGCTTCGATGTATGTGTAAGCTTAAAAAGACAAACCTAGAGAGAGCTTTCCACAGCTTTCCATTTTCCAAAGTACAAGTTAACTGGCAGCCTTTTTGGAAGGCAATTTAGCAAAAGGTATCAAATTCAGTAAAATATGCCATGCTCTTAGATCCAGTAATTTCCCTTTTAAGTATTTATCCCAAGGAAATCATCACTCATGTTTCTACAGATTTATTCAAGGGTAGTCCCTGAGGTACATAGTGTGTAAAGGCAAATAGAAACAGTATTCAATTAATTAAATTAATTGATGTAACACTGGTTTATAATGTATATATAAGTTTAGGTATGCAACATTATAATTCATTATCTGTATTGACTGCATCGTGCTCACCATCAAAAATCTAATTTCCATGTGTCACCATAAACCCTCCCTGCACTCACTCCTCCTCTGTTAGGAATTTGTTCTGTATGTTGTTTGTGGAGATGACTTTAAAGGTCTATAGTGGGCAGCACTTGTTTTTGCTCATTGGTATTCATGCGTTCCCTTATTCTGGCAGCATCACTCTGAGTTTGCCAGCTAATGCCCCTTCTCTCCCTACCCATTCAGGGGCTGGATCCAAGTTGGTCTAGTTAGAATAAACTCTAGAAGTAGAACATTGGAAGGCATTACTGGGAAGTCATGACTTTACCCAATCTGCTGGACTTGGAGTCGAGTGGATGTTACATGGAACTGCTGGCAGCTATCCTTTCCAAGAAAGACAGCCTACCTGTGACTTTAATCACACAGACAAAATAACTCCTCTCTTGGCCTGGGCCACTTTAAGTTTTGTGTTCTTTGCAACTGAAAGAGTCCAGACAAACACATTACCCAACAGTAATGGGTAAATTAAATAAACGGTGGCATATATGTACAGTGGCATACCATGCAGGAATTGAAAATGATGTTGCATATATACTGAGGTCCGTCCAGAAAAAGTCTAAGTATTGTTAATAGCAAGAATGGTTTGTGCCATACCGATGTCACCAGGCAGCCAAGGAGAATGGGCTGGAACGAGCACGTGTGAACAATGATGACTTCACTGAACTAGTCAGTGGGGGCGGAAGACGCTGCTGAGTGAGCACATGTACTGTGTGTTCATTGCATTCGAAATGATTGAGAGAGTAAAGCAATGAATCTGTATCAAATTTTGTGTGAAGCTTCCACTTTTCTCCACCTAAACTATTTGAATGATTTAGAAGGCCACAGCTGTGGGCAACTGGTGACTGGCAGCTTCATCATGGCAAAGCACCTGCTTATGCATCCCATCTCGTACAGAAGTTTTTTGGTAAAACATCGAATGACCCAGGTGACTCAACCCCGCTGCAGCCCAGAACTGGTGCCCTGTGGCTGCTGGCCTTTCCCAAAACTCAAATCATTTTTGGAAGGGAAGAGATTTCAGACCATTGATGAGATTCAGGAAAATACAACAGAGCAGCTGATGGTAAGTGGGAGAACTGTGTGAGGTCCCAAGGTGCCTACTTTGAAGAGGACTGAGGCATCATTGTCCTATGTACAAGGTTTCTTGTACCTTGTATCTTCTTCAGTAAATGTCTTTATTTTTTATATTACAAGGCTGGATACCTTCTGGGAAAACTTTGTGTATTTAAAAATTGGCAAAACATTCATTTTAAATTTAAAAAAAGCAAGATTATGTATGTAGATTTTTTTCAACACATGACTATATATCTGCATTTAAAATATCCTAAATTACAAGAAATGTTTACCAAAGTTATTTCTGCATGGTGAAATTATCAGTAATTTTTTCTCTTTTACTGAAGTGTATTTTCTGATTTTTTAAAGTGAACCAAAAATGCAGCAATATATCTAAACTCAGAGTTAATGATCTTGAGTGTGTTAAGAGAATTTTATATTTTCGAATTTTAGGGTGAATTTGTTTTGAGATAGATGATAGATAGATAGACAGATAGATAATAAGTGTCCAAAATTTGATGCAGATTCATGGCTCTACTTGCTCAATCATTTTGAATGTGACAGCCACACAGTACGCGTGCTCAGTCAATGGCATCTATAGACCCCACTGACTAGTACAGTGAAGTTGTCACTGTTCACACATGCACATTCCAGTCCACTCTCCTTCACTGCCAGATTATATTGATGTTGTGCAAACCATTCTCATTATACTAACAATGGGCAAACTTTTTCTGGACAAAATAATGTATATGCTAAAATGTATATGCTAAAATTGATTTTAGCATATTTTGATTTGCTAAGAGTTAGCATAGAGTTGATTTTTTTCTGCACTTTATTACTTGCCAAAGGTCACATAAGAGTGTAATGGATTAAATCAAGATTCAGAACATCATTACTCATAGTAATCACATCTTGTAAACAACTTAAAGGTTTATGAAGAGTAGTGTGGATAGTACATTATTGTCTAGGCATGACAATGATTAAACTACAGCTACCAACATGGGTAAATCTTACGAACATAGTATGATCCCATGTACATAAAGAACAAAAATAGGCAAAATTAATCAATGGTATAACAAATCAATACAGGAGTTACCTTTGGGAAGGAAAGAGGAATTGGTGATTGGGAAGAATTCCAAAAGGAGGTTCTGGGGTCTTGTGATGTTCTATTTTTTTGACCTGAATGGTGGTTACTTAGAGGTGTCCACTTTACAGTAACTAATTGAGCTGTACACTCGTGATTTCTGCATTTTTACAAATGTATGCTATACTTCAATAAAAAGTTTGTTTTAAAAAGCAGCATCTCAGTTTAATTGCCCAATTATTAATAGCAACTGATAAGCACTGCTACCTGCTGGGTAAAGTCTTCAGTGTGACTCTGTGGAAGTCCTACCATTGACCAGATACAGAGCGATAACCAGAGTTAACTGAACTCAAGATAATTGTGGCCAGTAAGGGTCACAGACACAACAGCTCAGGCCAATGAGAGCTGAGGGTCCAAACTGGAGTTCTGTGAGGCCCACACACCTCAGATCTGTCCCCTCGCTGGAAGTGTACAAACCACTCGTGTAGTTGCAGCCCTGCCTCTCAGCCCAAGTAGTAACTCTTTGTGAATTAGAAAAGGCCACCCCTCTTTTCAGGTCAATTCACTGCCATCTGCTGGAAAATCATTCAAGCCTAAAGGACCTGAATGTTGTTAACAATGCCCCCTAGAATTGTGTAGCACACAATCTGCACAACTGTGTGTTGCTCCTGCTTTGACAACACTCGGTGAGAACCTGTACTTCTCTTGAATTTGTTTCTCACACAAAGCATGTTCTTTCTTGATTTTCACTGTAAACCTCGGTGGGGCAGAATCAAATCAAAATCAAAAGAAGTACAATATTTACTATGGTAAGGGAAGAAGGAAGCGCAGGAGGGTTGACATGCCTGTTTAATTCTCTGATCCTCCTTGTTTACCTGGGGACTATGACAGAGCTTGTCAGGGCAGTAGAATGTCATACAGAAGCCTAGCAGCAGCACCTGCAGCGATCTTTCATCAAGGAAGTAAGTAAATGTAAAACTGTATTAGCCCCTGATGGCTAGGGGCTCATCACCTAACTTAAGTGGTTCTGAAGGAGTCAAGATGCAGTCTGGACACTACAGGTCTGCTCTGTGACTGCTTCAGCAGTCATTTCTTCTTTTGTCAAATATCAATCCACGCCTATATTTATTTTTAAAACTACTATAAAGCAAATATATGTTCAGAAAGATAGGAAGAACACACAGATGAACAAAAAGAACAAATTAAAAATCATTTTTATTGCTATTAACTAAAAATAACCACTCTCTAGGTATGTTTTAGTATGTATCATTACAAACTTTTAAAATACAAGATATATATATATATATATATATATATATATATATATATATATATATACAAGTTACCTGCCCATGCTTATATCTATATATCAGTTTGGCCATAAAGGCTGTTTGTTTTTTTCTATACGATGGCTCTAGTAGCACTTAGTTGTCTTAAATTTCATTAGAAAAATTTTTGTTACATTGTATTGTGGCAACTGTCATATAGCATGCTTTTAAAAAACCTTATTAAACTTGGTGAATTTTTGTGTAGCCATTTTAATATTGAAGATGGAAGAAAATATGCAACATTTTTGGCATATTATGCTTTATTATTTCAGGAAAGGTAAAAATGCAAAAAAAAAAAAAAAGGTTTGTGCAGTGTATGGAGAAGGTGCTGTGGCTTGCACAGTTCCCTGCTGGAGATTTCTCACTGGACAATGCTCATAGTCAAGTAGACAGACCAGTTGAACTTGATGGTAATCAAATCAACTGAAAACAATCAACATTCTACCACACAGGAGACAGCCAACATACTCACAATCTCCAAATTAATAAAGTTATTGGTGAAAATGAAAAATGTGTCTTTTATATTATGGACATTTTGGCCAACCCAATATTTATATACATTATCTATATCTACATATATAACTATATCTACATTGTTTCTAGAATTTAGATAATTAATTTCCTAAGAGCACAATGTTAAAAATTTTATCGTTATTTTTATGCATATTTATTTGCACAATCATAACTCAGAATTCTAGGAGTTATTATTTGCTAACATACAGCAATAGCCAAAGAACTGTTAGGGTGTGTACAACCAGCAGGCTCACTGTGGCCACACTGGCTGCTCTGATCAGTTCTTTACAGCACACAGTGGGGCACACCATGACTGTGCCCTGTTTGCTACAGTAAGTTCTTCAATTACTAACCATTACAATTACTTTCAGACCAATTCCATTGTTTGCATTCAAAAGCATTCCAAGACTGCACTCTTTCTCTGTCTTTAGAGTTTTATTTCCATATCACTTTATTTAAAATTATTAATATTAACTTGTATTCATGGTATTGTTCTTGTTTTATAATTCCTTGTTGCTAAAAAGAGGTAAGAAATGCTTGAAGCAGTTGGCTTCTAATTGGATAATTTCCCTGCACCCACCTCTAAAACAGTCAACAGAGGAGGTTATTAACAGCTGATAATGTTGTTGCACAGGAGACTTTGTACAACAAAGCTAAGCACAGAAACCAATGAAAAATGCACATGTTCACTTACCAATAAGCCATTAAAAATGGGACTGTAGTATGCCCAGCTGCTGAAGCCACAGTGACAATATGGCCATGATTATTCTTCATCATTGCTGGAAGAAATACCTTTGTAGTCTAGAAACAGTTTTTATAAGACAGAAAAAAAAACTTTTATTTCTGATTCACAAACCCACTGGGGATATTTTGAAACAAAATTATAGTTTGTAACATTGTTCCTAGCATAAATAAAAACCTAGATTAACTGCCAAATTTAGCAACATAAGGCAACTGGGTAGGGTGCCCAGATTAGAAAAATGAAGGTAAAAAACAAATACTGAAAACTTTAAGAATCCATCTCATTTAAATTGTGGGTAACTTATGTCCACTGACTCTCCACCTTTTCTCAATGATGTCTTCTATTTTAATTGTTGGAAAAGAGTTTGGTTATGTCATCAAAATATTAAAGTGAATAGCAATCTTCCAGTAGTTACTGAATGACTCACACAACAAATATTTATTAAACACCTACTATGTAATGGGGATTCAGAACCAAATAAGACAATACCCTGCATTTCAACAGAGGCAGAAAGATGGAAAAAGTCATAAAAATACAAAGACAGATGTGAATAACTTAGGAATGTAAACATAATATTGTATTTTCACCTACTAACTCCAATATTCTTTTGAGATTACTCACTCCAAACTCACTCCTAAGAAAACTTTCAGGGACCCTTTTAGGAGCTGGCTATGTGGGCAATATTTAGACTCCTAAGAAACTCTGTGTGTATATGTATTTAAGACCTTGAATGGTGAGTTTCATAATAAAGTTTGCATCAGAGGCCAGGATGTAACAGGAGGCCTGGGTCTCATGAGAGTCTGAAAGCAAACTGCGTTCCCCTTTTACAGAATCACAGATGATGCAGATGGTCCCGCATTCCTCCTCCATCTCTAAACAGAGATATGAGAATCTAGCTTAGAATTAAAACGCATATAGCACCTTAAGTTTATTATTTATTATTATTATGAATATTTTTATTGGAGGAAGGAAGAATAACTGATGAGATATGATTATAGCATCAAAAGTGATCTTTTTGTATGTTATCCCTGGTACCTGGAGAAAACTTTAGTATGGAGTTGATATGTCCTTATGTTTCCTGAAAACTTCACTTAAAACTTAATCTCTGAGTCTTACAAAAGGGAATGGTTTTGTAAAGGAAATCATACTTACCCAGAAGTGTGCAAGTATATTAACTTCAAAAGTCTTTTCAATTTGAGGGTCTTGTGTAGCAAACAAATCTGACGCATAGGCCACACCGGCATTATTTACTAGAATACTAACATCCCCAATTTCTGCCTTCACCTTTAAAAGTAAAATAAGAAAAATATCTACATCATTAAGAGGTATGAGGAGAGGCTTACATGCAATGACTGTTAAAGAAGTATGTATTTTTTATTTGCCGTGGGGAAAAAAAGTAGTGTTGAATCTGTGTGCAAAGTTGAAAAAAAAGAACCTTTTAATTTTAGGTACTTTATTTCAAAATAGTTTGCTAGGTAAAAATATTATTTTGCAATTTAGTCTCTTTGCTCTGTTGATTATAGCTCAAGAGGCATTTGGCTAACAAAAACACGACCAGTGACAAACCGGCCAGGGCTATTTTTTAAATACTACTTTAAAAGGTAAGCCAAAAAAGAGAAAAAAAACAAGGTTAATTAATTGGCAAATGCAGAGACTGTTATGAGGAACTATGTAAAACTGATTACACCATCTACACCATCTATTTATTTGTATGTTCACTCCATTTTATTGCTCTCATATTTTTATTGTTCTTTGAGTAACTAAGCTTCTTGGTGGATGGACCCTAAAGTTACAATGCATTTTGTTACACACTTGTTCCAAACGAAAGCTAGCCTCTATTCACAGCTGCCCTTCTTTAGATGGTGCTACATTGTGCTTGGGGAAAGCTTTCACATATGTAAGTGCTACGCATTTTACAGGATTTCATTATCTCACTGAACTCTCATAACAATTCTATGAGCTAGCAACTCTTAGTGTGCTTATTTTTACAGAAATATGAAACACAGAATGGCTAACCTTCTTGCCAAAGGTTACATGGAGTTGGGACTCTCCAAGATTTTCTGACCTCAGAGATCAAAACAAGCCTCAAACCTTGTGCAGAGAGGAAGTCGGGAGGGGGAGGCCCGTCAGCACCCCGGGGGGACCTCAATGTGCCACTGTGACGGCTCCCTGGCCAGAACTGAATTTCACTGGGCTGTATTTAAATTATTACAGAGACAAGCTAAGTTATTTGGCCCTTGATCAACACACAATTTGTACCTATATCTACATCTCTAACACAATAGGAAAACTATTGTTCAGAATAAAGCCCCTAAATTCTGAGAAAAACGACATTTTATGTGGCTAAATTGATGAAGCTGCTGTAATGCCTCCAAATTAACATGACTCAAAATATAAGTTATTGTTTTGTGTTGCCAGAGTCTCTTGGCCCTTCCTTCATCCTCAAGCTCCCCATTGTCACCTATTGTGTCCCGTGCGCCCCCCCAAGGGGTAAGAGTGTCAAATTGCACATTTCTCAATAATGAAAGCAAACAGAGTTTTATTGTTTAGGTGGCATAAAATTGTCCTGACACCAAGACAGCCACATCAAAATAGCAACTTCAAAATATCTGACATCATATGTAATTGTATAAATTCTGTTTAAGCATATAATAGTTCACCTTAGAAAAATTTCAATAGAAATAAAACTATGTTTAAAATACATGGAATTGTTTCGAATAATAAAGTTATGTTTTCCAGAAAAGAGCCTACTCCCAAATGAGAAGGGAATTGTTGTTAATTTAAGTAAAAGTGGTGCTGTGAAATGCAGATGGTTCTTACCCAAAGGGCTTGGTCTTACAGCATCTCCTTCCAGGAAGGCCCACCACTGGCCTGAGTAATTTCTATCTATTCTTTTGACTTAGCTAAGGCCTAACCAACAATAGTAGCATCAGTTTGAAATAAAAGATGATAATTTAAAGCAGAAGTTAAAAATGTCCCAAAATTTAAAATTCCCTAAAATTCAAGAGGTTCTCAAGTCTTGGCTGAATAAGGATCTTTATACTGCACTCAATCAGAATATGCAGGGGTAAGGTCCAGGAAGAACCTGGACCTGAACCTGGACCTATATTTTAAGAAATTTGCCCAGGTAATTCTACTGACCTTCTTACCATTGCCACTTTTAGATAGCAAGTACATTTATGAAAGTGCTCAGAGGAAACTCCATTACATATAGCACATCTCAATTGTGCATAGATGAGGCAAATAATGCATTATAATTATTTGTTTATTCTATTTTCCTGAGTTCTTTGGACTTCAGAAGACTCTGTCAGTGATCCTGTAGTGCCATCCAAGGTGTTACATGCGTCTGAATCAGATGGGTGAGCTGTGTGTGCAGACGGTACCACATGCAAATTCCTGGGCCCAGACCTTGACCTACTGAACAAAAAGCTCTCTGGTGCCTACTTTTTAACAAACTCCCTGGGAGATTCCAGAACACACTAAAGCCTGGGAACCTCAGTTCTGGGTTTTAGTTCTGGGTTTGCCACTAGCTAGCTAGCTATTCAACCTCGAGCAAATCACAAAACTTTTGTTAGCTTGTCTGCATCATGACTGGCTCATGTCCAAAATCCCTCCCAGCTCTGATACAATATGATTCTAATCAAATGCAAAATTTCACCTTCTTCGCCGAGCTGTAAATATCTTCTCGTTTACTGCAGTCTACCACAAAGGCATGAGCCTTTGCACCCAGCCTCCTGCATTCACCAGCTGTTTCCTCAATTCCATTCTACAAAAAATAAATAAATAAATAAAACAGAGGGCAAGGAGAATGAAGATAAACAATGTGAGCATTTGTATCAACAGGTAAAAACAGAGTCTTTGAACTAGGACTGGGCAAGAATTCACCTGACACATATTTTTGAGGGAGTTATAGGTATACTTTGCTCTCGGTACTTTGAAGAGCTTTTTTTAGTTGGAACTGAATTTAAAGAAAGATTAGAAGAAAAAGACAAAAATTTAAAAAATACTATTTTTATTATGAATTTTACATTGTGAGGTATATGCATGTGCATGTGTATTCCACATTAAGCTTTAAAAAATTAAACTTTTTTTCTTTGTCACTAAAACCTATTCACAGACATCAGTTTTTTGGCTGCAAAATATATAAATAAGGAGTCAATTACAATTCATTCATTCATTCATTCATTCCTCCAACATTTTAATGCGTAGATCACATTCAAGGTGTGTAGAAGAACCATGTGGGCACAAATATGAATGCATCAGAGTCCTGACTTCAGCAAGCTCACACTTTCTACTACTTTCTATATAATAGAAACATAAAATTATATTTAGGTAGGATCACATGAAATTTTTATCGCTTTGGAATAAAGGTTTGAATATTGGCAGTTTTGTATGGTTCAAACTGATATGTTGTGGTGAGTATAATAATAGAGCTATACAGAGAGAATTACTGGAACACAGAGAAGGGGCATGCAGTGCAATTCTAAAAGAAGAGGTACCTGAGTTGAATCTTAAAGGTGAGTAGAACAGCTATGCAAAAAGGGGCAGGGCACACCAAGCAGAGTGTAAGGAAAGGGGCAGATAGGAGAAAGGTAATCTGGGGAAGCACTAGCAGATTGGTGTTGCTGAGTCCTAAAGTTTGTGGATTAGTCTCTCAATCTCCCACTCACTAGATTGGTGCTGATCTAACTTCACATCCCACGAATTCCTATTTACATCATAGGGTGTGGACTAATATGTAATATATGCATTTCAGGTCAGTAGGTGCTTTCCAGGAACCTCTTTGTACATTACCTAGTGGCCAAATAAAAGGTGAGATTCTACGTCCTTCCTTCCTTAAGCCTACCCCTCATTCTGGTAAAAATTACATTGAAGACTTTTTTATTTTTTATTGTTTTTAACTCTTGGAAATTACTATGGCATAGCAATTGCTGCATTGCTATTTTTTTCTTAATAGGTACAAACCTCTTACTCTTAACGTACTAGGTAAAACTATTACTCTTTCCATACGGTTCAGATCAGTTAAGTCAAGTTCAGGAGTATATTATAAATTATTCTCAGGGGCAATGATGAGGATAAATTTACAATGTCAAATGGGCCACAACTGAGAATCTTCACTAAATCCATTTATCACGTTATCCATGTTTTTTTCCATCTGTAAAATGGCAATAGTAATTTTTTTCTACGCATTTAACAGCCTTGCTGTAAAGGGTTGTTATCTGCAAAATGCATGCATACATGTCCACAGATTGAAGGTACGAGAAAGTAAAACAGTAAAGCAGTATTACCTTATTTATATCCCACAGAACCAGTGTGCATTTAAGTTTGGCAAATTCATAGGCAGTCAGTCTCCCGATTCCATGCCCAGCTCCCGTAATCAGGACGATTTCTCCGGTGACTGATTTTCTCTTCTTAGGAATAAAAAGCTTCAGGAGAGATTCCAAGATGCAGAAGATCAGGAAGGGCAGAAGCAGGAGGCAATTCAGGACGAACAGCACCATTTTTTTTTTTTTTTTTTTGCTGCGAGGATTTGGTATGTTTACCAATCACTCTAAATTGTTTTTGCGTGCGGGAGGGTTGTTTCACACTAGAAAGAGTAACAGCAAGAGCAGGGACGGGCTTCTTTATCCGAGAAACGACTGTGAAACCGCTCCTTCCGCTGGGCTGGGCTTGGTTAGGTCCTGCACAATTGACTCGGGCTCCAGCCCCCGGCGACTGCTGGCGGCCCAGGAAACCCGGGACGGACGTAGGCGGGAGGGGAGCAAAGGTCCCTGGTTCCGCCCTGCGCAACCCTCGCAAGCTGCGCAGCCCAAGTCGTCCTTCGCTCACTCTCTTCCCATCTCCCTAGACGACCTCAGAGGATTAGTTGCCGCTTGTTTTCCTAAATTTGATAAATTTCTGTTGAAGTCCCAAGGATAATTGACAGTGTCCTGCAAAGAAGCAGTCCAGATGCTTCTTTGAAACTTGATGGTTGTCCGTGTGTAGTTGTGATACAGATGTATTTGCCTGTCTTGAAGGAATCCGGGAAGACAACCAATTGTTCCGTCTCCTGCTGAGAAGTGGTGTTACATCACATTTTAGTTTGAGCTAAGCACGATTTTTGGAGAACAGAGGAAATTTTGTCCTTTCGGGGACAACGATAATCAAGCCTCAGGGGATATCTGATCGTATTAAAAAGGATTGTTTCCACAAGGAAGAGCAGTGTATTTATGGCCTTTTCCTCCCAACCTATTAGGATTTGTGAAAACCATATATTACCCTTTAGTTATTGTATATTTATCCAACTTAATAAATCACTGCCTACAAAATGGGTAATAAAATAAACATTTTCGTCTGAAGATTGTAATTTTTGGTTTAGTAGTCTATATATGTGAGCATTCAACATGTAACTGATGGCTGAAAAAAAAATTCTAGTGATTGGTTTTTGAAGGCAAAGACCAAACTCTGGGCTTGTGTGCAGGCGCTTAATGTCTGTTGCATGCATTTTTTTCAATTCAGTTCTTGACAGTAATCGAATTGGGGCTTTTTGCAAGACGTTACAGTGTTTGTAGGGGAGGGGAGGCTAATGGTTAACCTTTATAATTAGGAGGCAGGAAAACCATAAGAAATGGAAGTTCACAAGTAATTTATCCTCCTTCCTCTTAAGTAGCTCTACACTGTTCCAGGGGATGAAGGGATAGTGACACTCCTGCAAAAGTAGAACTCCACCATGGAGTTTTGGAAATTTCTGAATCTCATCTGCAAAGCTTTCTTATGGTCCCCAAATCTAAGTTTACAAAAGTACTAATGCATCTATAGAAAGTTTACAGTTTCCAGGGTATTTTTTTTCCTCATCTATTATTTCATTTGAATTTTAAAAAAGCCTCCTAGGAAGTACAGAAAATTTTTTTCTCATTTTATAAATGAATAAATCAGTTAAGTTGACTTTTCAGAGTTCCCACAGCAAGTAAAAACTTGGAACTAGACACAGGGTCAGTGTTTGTGAGACATTTTTTGCCCAATGCCTGTAGCAAGAAATCACATTTTCTGTGGTGACCTAGTATATGTGTTTGCTTTTGTATATGTTGACTTCAATATATATCTAGGCTCTGAGTCTGTTTTTTTTTTTTGTAATTAACAATTTGTATTAAGAAAAAAAAAACTGGCTAGTACAGACTCATTAAGTTGACCAAGGAAAGAACCGAGCTGGAAGCACTCGTACCTGAATCCCGTATGTGCCTATAACTTCACCTTCCTGAGCAGGGGTTCTAATGTGTAAAATTGGGATGTTTCTAATAGGACTCTTGTGAAGTTCCAATGAGTTAACATAAAGCACCTTACTTTATCTACTACTGAACTCTATATAAATTATAATTAACATTAATATAATTGCAGTGTGGTTTTTGTGAGTGATGACTAGCTAATAATCTGATATAGTGGTAAAGTATGTGATTTTATACAGGGGTGGGCAAAAGTAGCTTTGCAGTTGTTCATACAGAAAGACAGGCAGGTTATAATTATTACAAGAGTTTTGTTAGCTCAAAAGAATAAACTCTGTTTTGTGTACTCACAACTGTAAATCTACTTTTCCCTACCACCTTATAGCTGTGGTTTTTAAAAAAACTTTTTATTAGGAGAGTTTAACACGTTGTATAGGTGGAGCATGCTAATTTCATGCTGCCTTGCCACTTGTTGAAGTGACATCAAAAGGAGAAAAGAATGAGGGGGTCCTCAACAATGTTTTGAGCACCTACTATGTATGGCCAGGCACTGTGCTGAATACTTCATGTAACCTACATGGTTCATTTTATTCTCTCAATAACTAAGCATTAGGCTCAGTTTGAGACCTCTGTTACATGAACGAAGAAATAAAAGATTAAGAGAGATTTAGCAAATCATCTGAGATCATAGTATAAATGCTAGAGTTGAATTTAAGCTTAGGCCATTATGACTGTACGAGATTGCTTGCTTCCTTATGGCAAAAAGAAAAGCTAAGCCAGTTCTAAATTACTTTGAATATCCAAATGGATCAAAACTTCCACTATTCATAACTGCAACAGCATTCATTACACCTGCCCCTCATATCATTAGATAATTAAGCTGACTAATTAACGGGCAACAGAGCGCAGGTGTTAAAACAATGAGTTTTAATTCCTGCCACGGTTTTATTGAGCTGTGTGATATCTGGTTATTTACCCTCACCTGAGCTCTTAGTTATTTCATCTGTAAAATGGATATAATAGCAGTTTGGTTGAGTAAATGAGATATTTAAACTGCACAGAGCATGACATCTTCCGTACAAATGTGCATAATGAATGACAGCTATTACCATGGCTGAACTGGTCATCCGTAAGGCTCTGGCTCTGTAGAATTCTAGTAGATTGAGAACAAAAGGCTATCATACTTAGCAATTACACAAGTTTTTCTCTTCCATGTTACTCTAAAAAAATACTGAGGAAGAACTTCTAGAATTGATCGCCAGACTGTGCTAAAGGAGGTACTTCAAATAATTCTGTTATTCTGGAATAGAAGCCTTCACACTTGGCTCTGGAGTCTGAATTTGAGAGCTGGAGGGAGTTAGAAGCTAGCATGTCCAGCTGCATCTGGTTTTTGCTTTTAATTTTTTTACAGTCTTTGGTGTTTCTTTCATTTTTATTTTAATTTTTAACACTATTATAGATGTCACCCCTTTCCCCCTCTTTCCCCTCTCACTAGTGCCTCTCATCCCAGCTTTCACTACATTGTTGTCACTACGTGTGTCACACACACACACACACACACACACACACACACACACACACTCTTTAGCTAATCTCTTTCAGTTCCCCAAACCCCTGCCCTCTGAGATTTATCAGTTATTTCATGTATCCATACCTCTGGTTGTATTTTGTTTGTCAGTTTATTTTGTTCAGTAGATTTCACATATGAGTAAGGTCATATAGTATTTGTCTTCCTCTGACTAACTTATTTTGCTTAGCATAATATTCTCCAGGTCCATCCCTGCTGTTGAAAAGGGTAAGAGTCCTTTCTTCTTTACAGCTGTATAGTATTTCCTTGTATAAATGTTCCACAGCTTTTTTATTCACTCATCTACTGATGGGCACTTGGGCTGTTTCCAGATCTTTGCTATTGTAAATAATGCCGCTATGAACATAGGGGTGCATATATTTTTTCTGATTGGTGTTTTGAGATTCTTAGAATATACAAGGGGCAATGTCCCCCAAAATATAAAATTATGTTCTGAAGGGCAAGCTGCTTGTAGTACAGGCTTCCTCCACTAGGTGAGTGTTTTATAACCCACCTGTATCAGTGTTCCAGCATGTGTTTTTGTGTGGCTACGTTTGGCTTCAGTGAATTTTTTTGAAGATTCTTTCAACATGTTTTTCCACTTCATGATGGGTGAGTTATGAGCGCACCTGCCCACACTGCACTGAGTGTTCAGCAGTTTTTGACCAAAAACAGCATGACCTCCTGTGCCCCACATTCCCTATTCACCTGATCTCTCCCTGAGCAAAGTTTTTTGTTTTCCAGGCTGAAAAAAGTTCTCAGAGGAAAATGTTTTGCCAATGTGGAAGATGTAAAACAAACAAACAAACAAAAAACCATCAGAAGCACTAAAAGGCATCAAAATTGACAAGTTCAAAAACTGTTTTGAGCAGTGGAAAAAAATGTCTCAATAGGTGTATTGCATCAAATGGAAAGTGCCATGACAGTGACTAAGGTTTAAACATGTAAGAATAAATGCACGTTTTTTATAAATAAATTCTGTTTTTTTGGTGATCCTCCCTCATAGTCCCAGAAGTGAGATCACTGGGGCAAATAGCAGTTGCATTTTTAGTTTTCTGAGGGAACTTCATACTGTTTCCTACAGTGGCCGCACCAGTCTGCATTCCCACCAACAGTGAGTGCACTAGGGTTCCTTTGTATCCAGAGCCAGGCAGCACTTGTCTTGATTTATTGATGATAGACATTCTGACAGGTGTGAGGTGATGTCTTTTTGTAGTTTTAATTTGAATTTCGCTGATGATTAGTGACTTTAAACATTTTTTCCCATGTGTGTGGGCCCTCTGGATGTCTTCTTTAGAGAAGTGTCTATGCAGGTCCTTTGCCCATTTGTTAATTGGGTTGTTTGTCTTCCTGGTGTTGAGTTGTATAAGCTCTTTATACATGTATCATGGGAATTAACCAGTTACCACAGGTATCCTTGGAAAACATGTTTTCCCAGAGGGTGGATTTCCTTTTCATTTTGTGGATGGTTCCCTTTGCTGTGCAGAAGCGCTTTAGTTTGGTGTAGTCCCATTTGCTTATTTTTCCTTTGTTTCCCTTGCCCTAGCAGATACAGAAGCAAAAATATTGCTACATGAGATGTCTGAGATTTTACTACCTATGTTTTCTTCTAGGATTTTTATGGTTTTGCGAATAAATCTTTTATCCATTTTTACTTTTCTTGTGCATAGTGGAAGTTGGTAGTCTCTTTCTTTCTTTTTCTTTTTCTTTTTTGGGCATGTACCAGTCCCATATTCCCAGCACCATTTATTGAAGAGACTATTTTTCCTTCATCATATGCTATTGTTTATATTGTCAAATATTAACTGACCATTAAGGTGTGAGTTGATTTCTGGGCTCTCTGTTATGTTCTTTTAAAACATATGCCTGTTCTTTTGCCAGTACCAGCCTCTTTTGATGACAGTGGCTTTGTAGTATAGGGACATATCTGGTATTGTGATCCCTCTTAGTTTGTTCTTATTTCTTAAGATCAATGAGGCTATTTGGGGTCTCTTTTGGTTCCATATAAATTTT